ATAAAAAAATAGTTCATATCTCACGATTGGACCGTCCATAAAACCTAAAATTTTACATGACATACTGATATAATTTCAAAAGCTACTAAAAAAAATTCAATTGCAAATTCGTTACGAATCTTGAGATATCACTAAAATCCTAACAGTAGCTTTAAATCCTAGCTTATATAAACCTATGTGCTATTTTTTTCATATCTCAAAAAATAAGTATTAAAATACCATGAAACTTTGATCTATATCTTTTTAACCTTAAAATTTAAAATTATGGAAATTTTGGGCCCAAAATTCATCCAAAAACTCAAGATATAGCTCCAACCATTACTATCAACAAAATGACTCCCTTGTTGCCTTTGAATTACATGTACTATCTTCAATGGCCTATAACTCCTTCATCCAAACTTGGAATTCATCAAAAAATATATGTAAAATATAGCCAAGAAAGTTTTCTCTCCAATTCTAGTTGCCGATCTTTCATTGCTCTTCGTATGCATATGTTATGCTTCAAAAAGTGACAGTAGGTACAAATTTGATACTTTAACTTTGAACACCCATATCTCCTTCACAAAAACTCGAAATCACACAAATTCTTCACCCAAAATATATCCAAAACCGTGAACTTTCTGATCCTAGCCTCCAAAGCTCGAATTATTTCGAAAGAGAAACCCTAATCCCTAATAAGGCCTCGAGTAGCCTCCTTGAAGTCCATTAGGCATGATATTTGACCAATAGGGATGAAGGTCTTTACCCCTTGCCTTCATCCAACCATACCTTATTTTCATCCTTCTCAATAAGCCTCCTAATAGTTTAGACTTTCATCTTTAAACTCCAACCTTCTCTTAAGCTTTATACTAAATATCTAAATCCTACATAATATAAACACTATAATCAAAATAGATAAATCTCCAAATCAATTTTCTTATATCAATTCTCTTTAAATTTATTTACTAACCATTCTAATCTACATCAAGATTTATAAATATATTATATATCTTAATTATTTTTTACTTATTATAAGCAATTGTAGTATGACAATGGCAATATTGGAAAGATGAGAGGAGATAGAGGAAAATTAGATGCAATGGAGGCAAGGAAATTCTTTAAAAGATATGGAGTTCAATTGAAATTAACTACTTCTTATAATGTGAAAGCAAATAATAAAAGTGAAAGAAATCATCGTCCTATCATTAATGCATTAGTGAAAGCTTGTAAAGGTAAGTCAATACAATAGCCAAAATTGCTTCTATTTGCATTGTGGGCTGATAGGACTACTCATAGTACGATAACCAATCACATGCCCATTGAGTTAATGCTAGGACAAAAACCAATTATGCCAACTAAAGAATCTTATCTTATATGGATTTTTTTATCTTGGAAAGATGAAATTGATAGAAAAAGCCTATTGGAATTCCAAATTCAACAATTAATGAAGTTAATAGAAGATTTGGAAGCAGCAACAGAGAAGTTAAAAGTAGCTCGATTAAAAAATAAAGAAAGATTTGATAAGATACATTGATTAAGACCTAAATCCATATAAATTGAAGATTGGGTTTTAATTTATGATAGTAGCTTGATCCATCAATATAGCATAGCCAAGAAGTTTGCAAAGAAGTAGTTTAGACCTTATGTGGTAACTATAGTCCATGATAATGTCATTTATTCTTTACGTGAGTTAGATAGAATAATTATCAAAAATCTAGTGGCAAGCAAGCGAATGAAGGTCTTTAAGCAAAGAAATACAAGAATCAACAAAGAAGATAATATTGGCTCTTTACAACAATAAAAAGAAGGAGATCAAGAAGATCAAGAATTCAAGGCAATGTTGATAGAATTTGAAGAAAGTGAAGAGGATTGATGGCACATTCCGGAGGATGTGCAAGATTGGAGGGAATGGATGTCGTATCATGTTTGAGCACGATATATAAAAACTAGATAAGAATTATTAAATCTATTTGTTTTTAAGTTATATTTTTTATTTTATGAAATATATTTTAAAAAAATAATTAGAAATAAAAATTAATTATTTAATTAAATATTAAATTAAAATAAAGATTAATAAATATATATATATATATATATATATGTGAATGAATTCTATTAGCAATAAGTATTATATTTGATAAAAATTAAAAAAATAAGTTTATACAAGGAGAAATTAGGATTTAGGATAATTAAAATTTTAAAGTATCTATTTAATATAAAAATTTGTACATATATTCTTAATAGGTCTATAAATAGATCTGTAAAGTTTTATAGAAAATAAATTATGGTTTGTGAGAAATAGAGATTTAAAGAAGGGAAAGAAGTCGGGAAGCAAGCTTATAGGAGAAAGAATTAAGACTATGGACATCAAGTGGTAACTTAGGCTTCTGGAGATGAATAGATGATAGGGTGCCTAAATGGCATCTAAGAGGTCCTGAATTCAAAGTTCCATGGTAGCACATAGAAGGAAGATTGAAAAAGAATATTTTTCAAAAATCCTCAATTAATTTATTGAGGATATCCAGAGGGTTAGCCCTGCAATGCTTGTATTAGGAGATTATGTTAGGTGATAAGGACACTTGTCACCTATGGATAGGAGTAAGGAATCTCTCTTAATGATAACATGATGTATGATGCCCATGCCTTCTATATATTCATCTTCCTAATAGATTGGTACATAGCTTCCCCTAAAAAAGAAGAAGCCATAAGTTAGTAGTAGTTTAAAGTGCAATGGCATCAATCCTCTGGAATCCTCAACCCTATATTTTTTATATTTTTATTTTTCTTTCAAGACATATACATACTCAAATATATATATATATATATATATATATATATAAGAAATTAAGGTTTAGGATTTAAGATTTAGAGGTAGGATTTATGGTGGAAAATTTTAGAGAAAAGAAGAGCAACCATCTTAGGAAGGGGATATAAAGATTCTTTAGGAGAATTTTGGCTCTCTTGTATTTTTTTTTTTATTTTTTTTTTTTTTACAAATATTTAAAGAAAGGGACTTCTTGATATAAAAGCAAGTGAATTCAAAAAGGATTCATGTTTTGTAAAGTGTTGTGAATGTTCTAGAATTACAATATAGTAGAGCAATCAGTAGTAATAAGAAGTCTAGTGTTTTCTCAAGACAAACTTTGTCTCTATGACACCGCTCTAATATAAGATACTATTAATGATTGAAAGGTTCTATTAACCATCTTTAAAGAGAAGAAAGATTTGAATATGTAACAAATATAATTTATCACATCATAGATTTTCTCAACATATGATGACTGCTCTTCATGGAATTCATCTCTAAAAGGGGAGATAATGTCATGAACATATACATGTAAGGCAATAATTACTTGTATAAATAGGTAGAAGTAGATAGAAATAGATAAAAGTAAGTTAATTGTAGAATATCTTTTAAAGTAACTTCTTAGAAGCTTTATAGATGCTGCTTTGATTTTATAGGTGTCCATTGTTAAATTTTAGGTTAGAAACTTGGTCAACAAGATAACTATGTACCACACATATTGGTGGCTTGAAGGACAAGCTAACTATGTGGCCCACACATAAAAAACTTGTCTTATAAGCAAAAGCATGTGTCTTACAAAGTCAACACATATTAGAGGTCTTATAGAATATCGCCACATAGCTCTTAGTTAGATAGTATATATAGAGGCAAGAATGAAGCCCTCTTCACTATTGTCAACTCATTTCTTGCTTCTAGTCTAGTTTCAAGAATCTCAATTTTTCTTGTCTTTTGAAAACAAGCCTTTCTAGTTTCTTTTTAATATACGTACTTTCTTATTTATATTTTGTCACTTTTTCTTTGATATAGATTTTATTGGTTTATACATCATCTTCCTATTCATATCCTTGAAATTTAGTAGTAGCCATTACAAGTAAGAAGGTTGAAGAAACTTAATTGCTTTTCTTCTTGCTAGTGAAAAAATTTGTTTCTTTATTGTAATCAAACTTGATTCTAGCCTAGATTTGTGCTAAACCAATTTGTTGAGAACTATAGCTTGTTTGCTCACCACCTTTGATTCTAATGCCTCTATACACTACTTAGTCATCAAATATCCTTTCTTTTATTTTGATTTTATTAATACTAAGCCTTCTATTTAGAAGATCTTAGTGAAATGTATTGTGACTCTATTGGTATGGATTAACACTGTACAAGTATGAAGCGATTATAATTCAAATCAAACAACAGTGAATGAGAATTTAACCACACCACTATCCTAACAGCTAATATGTGCAAAAGACTAATTTAGAGTCTAAAGTACCAAGGATGTGATATTAATGTCTTCCTCAATTGAGTTCTAAAAGTCTCATGTGTAAGAGACAATTATGTAGTTGACATGAATGTCATTTTTGTATCAACAATACAAAATCACTACTCCAAATTCATGTCATTAATTGGCTGAATTTCCAGGTAAATATTAAAACCATATATTGATGTCAATTTGTTGTTGTAGATGTAATGGATCATCAATGCAACTCTGAAGTAAGGTCTTTGTCCTTCAATCAATGACACATCTCTTGTGAACTAAAATAAAATCCGACTAGTTGAAAGCATATTTTAATTTATAACAATTTAATTATCTAAATATTCTAACAATTATTAGTTAGTATTTGATTAAAAGTTCAAAGAATTTAAATTCATTTTAAATATGAAATAAAATAAACCATTCTAGTAGGTGATTTTATTCTAGTATGTGATCCACAACTACTAATTAACTTACGAATGATTAAATAAACATTAAGAGATATTAACCCTTTTACAAATTAAATTCAGACTCCATTACCTACAATCCATAATATAAACTACACAACAATACAAAAACCACATACACTTAAAAAAAAATGTTTTTATGATGTTTCATACTATATATTTCTTTTTCTATTTTTATTATTTTATATTTTATTATTTAATAAAATATTTATCCAAATTAAAACTTCTATCTATAACAATTTCTTATCTATGAATGAATTTCCATCCATGAATAAAAAAAGCATCCAAATTCAATCAATTCTCATCTATAAATCCAATCTTTAAAGCCTAATTCATCTATGAATGACCTAATTGAATCAAGAGGTCGTCATATAGCATGAATTCATCGAGCAAGATTTTGAATAACCCACTAAGTGACTTTTTGATGCAGAAGAAGTCCCAATTGTTGTAGGATGATTTGATAGGACAGCACTTCTTGCCCTCGAGTACCACTTAGTGCAGGATCATATCTTGTGGATAACTCCCAACTGTACTACATCGGTGGTGCAAACATCCTTGCTACCAACCTATCAAATCAATACTACACTAAGATAAGAAAGGCCACGAGAATGTACTCCAATATGAGGTCTGATCCAGCAACCACAGCTCGTCCAGCGTGATGTCTTTCCTTGCCCTTCTCTTGATATTAGGTGGCTGGTTGCAAGAAAAACAGCCACGACATACTCACAAGTTGCAATCCACACAAGGCTCCGAAATATTTTTGAATACTCCTCGGCTATGGTTCTCCTCGATCCTTGCAACAATTATGAAGATAACTTTTGTTATGTAACCCATCTTCCAAATGCCACGAGCAGAATTTCACATCACACTTCACGTCGGCAAAGGCTGCGTCGAAGCGGACCACCCAGTAGCGATGATATGCACACTTGATGGAAAAGGAGAAATAAAGATCTGAAGAGTAGAAAACGGCAAGTGCTCCTAGGCAGCAGCAACAACGATCAAGGAGCAGTCGAGGAAGAGGGTGAGCGCAAGGGAGCGGCAACTCGAAGAAGAGAAGGTGCTGAGGAGGAAAACAGGAACCGACGGCAATATAGAAGCAGCCGCAAAATCCAATATCCGAGTTCCACCTGAACCGCCGCCATAGAGAAAAAGAATCTAACACCCACTTATACCGAGGCTGCTACAAAGGGTAGTGTCACAAGAGCCACACATCCAAGCAACTCTTCATTTTATTTTATTTTTAATAATAAAACTAAGGGAGAAAATATATATATATATATATATATCCACTGCAATTGATTATTGCCACTTGCAGATTTCAATGACAGGAACAACCAACTCCACTAGGACAGACAACCCGTTGACAATAATCAACCAAAAGCAACCAGGAAGAGGAAAAGAAAAAACAAAACACGCCACTTCGCAACGCAAACAGCACCGCCACAGTTGAATAGCGAGAGTAAACAAGACACCGAATCGTGGTAACCACGAAAAGAGTTAAACACCACAACTCCACTCGAACTCCAGCTGCACTTTAACGGCGCCTAGTATAAACCATCGACATTGCCGTTAATTCCAAGTGCTGCTACAACAGCCTGGCTCGTCAAGGAACCGAGGCCCTAGTATCGCCACCAACAGAAGAGAAGCAAAAAAAAAAAAACAGTTGAAGCCGAGCCTTTGCCACCACATCAAGAGAGCAAGTGGAACCAGAGCCCCTTCTGGAATCGCCGTGTGCACAAAATCTAAGAAGCAGAGAGAGACGCAAATAGCTGGAGAAAATGCGGGGCTGAACTGACACCTTAGTTATTGCCGTCACCGTAGAAGGCACGTTACAGCAGTGCCACGCAATGACACAGCGCTCCGAATTCAACAGTGACGTCGAATCGCTCGTCGCAGCACACACAGTCGGAGGAAAAAAAACCTGATCCGCCTAGTGTGGAGCTTCCACAGCAAGATCCCACCGTCGACGCCGTCACTGACACCAGCCGCCGCTCAAGCGTCACACTGCCCCGAAAAGAAATAACCAGTCGTCCTTGACCACTTGCACTCAAGCCCAATGTCCAACATACTGTAGCACCACTGCAGCAACCGAATAGGAGAAGATCGCCTCACGCCGCACTACCCCCACCGATGGAACCCAAAGTACGCGAGAACAAGGACGAGTCCGGCGCTGAACCACCAATCCGTCTCGGGGAAAAAATACCCGCCAACAGTCCGCACCACTTCAGCCGGCGACACTCCCTTGCTGCGGTTGAACTTTCCGGAACGCAACAATAAAAAAATAAAAAATAAAACAAAAACTGAGCTCCAACCTCGAACCGCCGCAATTCCATGGACAGAAAATAGTGGAAAACCACACCTGCATGGCTTCAACCAAGTACACAAGGGGGGGAGGAGAAGAAGAAGAAGACGAGAGGAAAAATGACATCCCGACAGCCTTTCCCCGAATACTGGGATCAATCTTCGCCTCCTAAAAATCCGGGAAGGTAAGGGATCCTCTTCTTTCTTTCTTTCCTTTTCTCCTTCTACTCTTCTTTTCTGATTTTTCTTTATTTCTCTACTTTTTCTTCTATCTTTATTTTTCTCTCCTCTCTCCTACTAGTCGCCTACCATCCTTCTCTCTACTTTTTCCTTCTTCTTCACCCCTTTCTTTTCTTCCTCTCTCTTTCTTCTTCTATTTCTTTTTTGTATTTTCTTCTAATTCCGTCATCTATTCTTTCTAATCTTTTTGAATTGACCAAATCAAGTTTATATTTAGCTCCTAATTCAATTAACTTTTAATAGAAAAAATCTACTAAAAAATATTATAAATTTATATTAGCAATATTAAAGAGAAACTATTTATTTTAAAATGCTTTCTTGAAGAAATTTTCCCTAAGATCCCTTTTTGAATTGACATCCTATTTTTTACTATTTATGTTCAAATTTTCTACTTTAACTTCCTAAACTAGTGACTTTAAGCACCATAAGTATATTTTTTGTACTAAAATAGATTAGTGAGTCAATTCCATGATTCATACCTTGACAACAACACTTAGACATATCTTAATTAATACTCGACTATTTCACTTGTACTTCACGGCATCACAAAGGTGTGAATTCCACTAATGCAACTTAATTAAAAAATTAATTAAGAACATAGTTTTAAGTCATTTAATTATACAAATATTAAAGTTAAAGAGTCTTTTTGATTATTTAAGTATTTATAAGTTACAAAAGTCTTATTAAAATATATATATATATATATATAAAAATAGAATCTTAATAAGACTTGAAGGTAATTATCTTAGTTAATTTAGTATTTTTATTTTTGTTAAATATTAAGGATTAATTATTGAGACCAATGTCTTTATTGGTCTCTTATCTACATGTATTATTCATAAAAATCCTATCAATGATTAATTAGTAGTTAGAAAAAAAAATTGTGAGACTCACACCTTCATATCTTTTTAATCAATTATATAAAAAAGAATTTTTAGTAGATTTAAATTGATTTTATTAATATAAAAAGATAATAAAATTACCTATCTAAAAAAATACTTTTTAATCTTTACTTTTATTTTTTATTGGATGAAAATTTAATGAACAAATTGTAGACTACTTTTATTGTATACAATTATTTGATTGTACTTATTTCACTTATTTTGTATTATTCTTTTTATTTTTCTTATATATTATATCTTTTACTTCATACCACCAATTACAGAAAACTTTTGATTAAGGCTATCTTATAATTTTAGTTGAGGGAGAAATTTATCCTTACAAATAAAATAAAATAAAATACAATTATCCTTCTTCTACAGTCTGAGTAAGCACAAATAGAGAGAAAAAAAAAAAAAAAAAAAAAAAAAAACATAGATTCAATATTGAATCTAGTATTAATCTAGAGAAAAGATGGTATCAATTAATTTGCAAGGGCAAATTTTGAAATAAGAGTGCACAGCTCTTATGATAAGTTTTACAAGTCCAAAATAAGAAGTAATATAAATCTTTTAATCTTGAGAAGACTTTCATTACAACTTATTCAAAATTCTTATCTATACTTTGTCTCTTTATTGCAACGACAAAAAGCAACTTGCTTGTTGCCTCAACAAAAGACCAATGCTCATAGCCACCAACCAATAATGTAAAGAAAATCCAAAAGGTCTACATGTCACGAGCATACACATGTAAACCAATAATTACCTACATGATTATTTGATAGTAGATAAAAGTAGATTAACTCCATAATATCTTCTATAGAAGCTTCATAGACTCTGCTTTGACTTTGTAGGTATTTATAATTGATTTTTTAGGTTAAAAATATAGTCAACAAGTTTGCCATGTGCCACACATATCGGTAGCACAAAGAATATGCTAATTATGTGGCCCACATGTAAAAAAATTATCTTGTAAATTAAGGCATGTATTTTACAAAGTCAACACATATTAGAAATCATATAAAACATCGCCATGTAGCTCTTAGTTAGATAGTATATATAGAGATAAGAATGAGGCTCTCTTTATTCTTGTCAACTTTTTTCTTACTTTTAGTTTAGATTTAAGAGTCTCTAATTTTCTTTATATTTTGGCAATAGCCATTCTAATTTTTTTTTTAATATACATACTACTTTATTACTATTTTGTCACTTTTTCTTTTAATATAAAATTTTCAAGTTTATGCATCTTCTTCTAGTTTAGATCTTTGATAGATTGAGAAGAGTACTTTTATAATATTAGAGCTTTGTCTTCTCTTGATTAAAAGTAGATTACATCTATTTCTTCATAAGACATAAGCATATTAGAAGTTATAGATTACCCTCTTCTAAACTAATACTGTTCTTAGTATCTTCTTTGTTCTCAAGTCTCTTCTTCTACTTATCTTGAGCAATATTAGACATTGACTTTTTAAGTATTATCATAGCAAAGCTTGTTGAAATGAAAAATAGAATGGTGCCAATACAAGAGCAATTAAGGAAAATAATGCTTACAATGCATCAACTCAATTTACTACCATAAATAGCAACAATAATGGCAAGAAGTGAAGATATAGATATAATTGGAGTTGCTTCAATATCTACACCAAATCTTATTCTTTTTCCTATAATAGAACATTCTTTTAGTACTAGAAAACCAAGAAATATCCTCTCTAAAAATTTTGATGGTACAAGATTCAAGTTTCGAGGATTTATGATAATAGGTAGAAATAAGTCAAATATGATAATATCTTGTAGATAGCTTTCTAGAAGCTTCATAGACGCTAGTTTGTCTTTGTGAATGTGTATAGGTGATTGCTAGGTTGAAAACTTGGCCAACAAAGAGGCCATGTATCAACATATTGATTACTTGTAGTACAAGTTGGACATACGACATATACCTAAGAAACTTATCTTGTAAATTAGACATGAGTCCTATAAGTTGGATGCATATTAGAGGTCCTATAATATGTTGTCACAAATTTCTTAGTTAAGTAGTATATATAGATGCAAGAATGAGGCCTCCTTCATTCTTATCAACTCCTTTCTTCCTTTTAGTTTAGTTTCAAGAGTCTTATGTTTTCTAGTCTTTGACAATAGTCATTCCAGTTCTTCCTTGAATACACATATTTTCTTCTATTTTGTCACTTTTTTTTTTATACAAATTCTACGAATTCATCCATCTTCTTCTAGTTTCTGTCCTCAATAGATTGACTAGATTATACATATAATATCATAGTTTTTTCTTTTTTTGATTAAAAGTAGATTATTCCTTTCTCTTAATAAGATATAAGAGTATTAGAAGTTATAGATTATCTTCTCCTAAATTGATTAGAAAAAAAAATCTTGATTCTTTAATATTATATTTTATATAAATAGACTTTTTTCTTTTTATTGTGCTAGCATGGCAAAGCTTGCTGAAATAAAGAGTGCAATAGCTCAAATGTAAGAGCAAATGAGAGAATTAATGCTTATAATATATCAACTCAATCTACCACCACAAGGAGCAATAAGATTATCATGCAATGAAGATACAAAGATGATTGAAATTGCTTCAACATCTACACTAAGCCATACTACTGCTCCTACAATGGAACATCATTCAAGTTTTAAAGAATCAAAAATTGCATTGCTTCAGAAGTTTGATAGTACAAGATCTAAATTTTGAAGATTCATCAATCAAGTAAAATTGGTGATTCAACTACAACCTCAAAGTTATCCAACTCAAGGATCACAAGTTAGGTTTATTAGAATACTACTTTCAGATTCTGCTTTATCATGATTTTCATCATTTTTTTAATGACGTGATCCAATATCGGATAATTTAGAAGCATGCTTAGTAGATTTTAATCTATGTATGGAGAACATGATACAATCCATGTTGCAACCAACAAGATTTGTATCTTGTGACAAGACAATTGATTAGTGATATTATACGCTTCATAATTTTGACAAATAGTGACAGATATCAAGTGAAATGATGGAATATTCATCAGCCAATTTCTCTACAGATTACAATATGAAGTAAAAAAATTGATGCTCAATTTATCTAATCCTTCAACATTGAATCAAGCAATTGACTTTGCTGCAAAATGTGATAATCTTCTTTTTGAATTTTGATCTCAAAATTGCATAAAAAAAACCTTAAAATTATTATAATTTAATGATGACACTAATGACTTCTCAATCTAAATATTTGGAAGTAGAAGACATACAAATCAATTTGATTTATTTAAAACCTCTTATCGAACAAGAAAAGACTTGTCGTAGTCAAGAATGACTGTTTATATTATGGAAAAACTAAGCACATTGCTCAATATTGTCCTAAGAAATGATACAACTATAAAATGATGAATACTGCTATCAAAGATGAAAACATGTCAAAATACAAATTTGTCCAACTACAATAGGAATTGTGCGGTTGAAATCTTATATAATTCCTAATAAATGTCATATTCTCTCCTTAGAACCCTCTCCTTGTTTTACAATAGATGTGTATTTAGAATCTAATAATCACAAAGCCTCTACCTTTATAGATTCAGAAGCCTCAACTTATTTTTTAGATGAAGAATTTATTAAAAGTCATAATATATAATTAGTATGAAAAATTAAACCCGTACACGTAGAAATCATAGATGGTCATATGTTATCTTTTGGAGATATTACTCATAAAATACTTCCTATAGATGTAGTAATAAATAGTCATAATAGTCACATAATTTTTAATATAATTAGATCTTATTCCAAACTAGTCATTTTAGGTTTATCATGGCTAAAAAAATATAATCCTATGATAGATTGGATTTCTTGTAAACTTGACTTTTCTTCAAACATCATTAAGAGTTTTTCTAATCTAGTAGAAAGTCATGAATCTAGTATAGCCAAACTTATACTTATAGGTGTAAAAGCTTTTTTGCATGCTGTAAAAGAAGGATCATCTTTTGTTATTTATGCCACATCTATTTTAAATAA